TCCAGATATTCAAATTTTGTATGAGGGGCCCCCATCCGTGAATTGTGAAATTTTATATAAAGATATGCTTTGCTATTTTTTTTGTTGTTTCTCCAGATATGTTCGATGACCAGCCATCAATTTAACTTGTATTCTTAAACATGTCACTAACAATAAACGTTAGATATTTTTCCTTACTTATGCTCGTTTGTTTTAATTTTAAATCAATTTAAGACACTGTACCTTTCTAACTTATTAACTGGGTTTAGATTGCTTTCTCACAACGCAAATAATTATGATGGAATTACTCTTTATTTGTATACACCTTGATCTATGCATATTTGTTCACTCATGTTGCCAAATAGCCAATGTTCAAAATTTGTTACATTACTTGGGCACATATTTCTTACATATTACACTATCATGAAACACTCCCTGAACAAAGTTATAATGTATATTGTACTAAATACACTAATTGTTCTTGAATATTATGTACACAGTGATGTTGACATATTGCACAAATATTAAATGAATATTATTAAATACTTAATATAGAACACCAATTTTTTGAAGTACTTTGGGTTCCAACACCCTTTAACACGTTTTAAATATTATCAGTAACAATTAAAACGCTATTAAGATCTCACTGATATCCCTATTTTGCTTACATTGATAAATTATGAAATAAGTACAGAAATCTTACATTCTTGTAAAGTAACCTTGTTTGAGCTTGAATCAACTCACAGTCAAGAGTCAAGATAGCGGTTTTCAAGCTTCGTGTAGCAAACTAGTAAACACACAGCGCTGTATGTCAATAACTGCAAACTAATTGAGGAAGCTCAACGAAGGAACGAGCGCATCGATAACAACCTTACCCTACACTTTTTAAAAATGTAATAAAGTTTGCTTTCATTACTAACGTTATTCTGCATAAAACTTCTGATTTTCAATCGTCTAAAAATACATATAACATTTTGAATGTTTCATAATTTCGGAATATGTTGAATTTTTAATGCAAAAATGAATGATAAATAAATTATTTAAAAATTTCTAATACCAAAAGATAATAGGCATTATTTTAAAGCACAATAATGTAAATTTTGGTACAAGTAGATTTCGATAGGAAAGAATAATTCTAAACTTTATTTTTCTGTATGATTACAAGCCTAGTTCCTCCAATTTTACAGTTATTAAAGACTATAAGAAAGTCTCTTTCATTACTAAAGTTATTTTGTATAAAACTTGTGATCTTCAAATGTCCAAAATAACATTCGAATGTTTCATAATTTCTGAATATACTGACTTTCTGATGCAGAAATTAAAGATACATAAATGATTCAGAAATTGATAATAACAATAGATAATAGACATTCATTGAAAAAATAGACGTTCTTTTAAAGCCCAATAATGTAAATTATGTCACAACTAGTAAGTTGTTGGCAGGAAAGTGTAACTGTAAATTAATTTTTTCTGTGTAAATTACACGCCTAATTCCCCCCCAGTATTACAATAATTAAAGACTAAAAAATTTGCTTTCATTACCTATGTTATTCTCTGTCAGATTTCTGATTTTTAATCGTATAAAAGTGCATATAACATTCTAAATCTTTCATAATTTCTGAATAACCTGATTTTCTGATACAAAAAATAATGATACATAATTACAAAAATTAATGATTTAAAAATTGCTAATAACAGGAGATAATAGACATTGATTGATAAACAGATATTATTTGAAAGCACAATAATGTAAATTATGGCACAAGTAGATTTCGATAGGAAAGTGTAATTCAGATGAATGTTTTGGGAGTACATTTTGCATTGAACTTAGATATTAAATATGCAAAAACGACAGTGATCATTGTATTTCAATTTCTTTATAAACATTACTTACAGCATTTGCTAAACTACTATTCGCAATCTGTAACAACAGTTAAAGGGATATATTTATGTACGTTAAAATGTCGAAGAACTTAGAGAACTAAGTAGTGAATTCAAGTATGTACGACAAGGTCTCGAAAGGGTTGAAACACTCTTTTATCTACTCAAAGAAATAATAACTGATGGCCCCTTCTTGGGCTTACAGGAAAGCCTGCACTCGGGCTTTTAAAACATGATAATAAACTAATATAATGCTAAGCAAATTTAGCCGAAGCTAGACACAAATACTTAACGTAGTTGGCCCTTAATCTAATTTAGTCGGTGATTATCCACAGGCACGTACAATACGGCCGAGCGTAGTAGATTCAAGAACGAAGTAGCCAGAAGACACAAAGGCATCCCTAAGGACTCCTAAGCACTCTCTCTCGCAGTAATTTGAACTTAATGTCCAGGTCTAATGTCGGACTTAATATTCCTCATCATGCTTAAAAACTCCTTCTAACTCATGCATAAAATGAAATACTAAAAACTCATTTTTGTAGAGAACTGTAGATAGAAAACGAGAATGGACAGTAAAGCATGTTTAAACTTAAAATAACTGTTAGAGAATTAAAGTTACTTCTACAAAGTAAGAGAGGAAAAATTTTAATAAAACAATAAATTTCTTGGAAAATTTTTTAAATAGTGTTAGACAAAGTTTACTTTTACTGGCTTGATCAAACATTTTATGCATGGAATTAAACTTTTAGGAGTGTGGACTATTTATTACACATCTCGTAAACAGTTACTTGCTTTCTAAATATTATATTTGTTCGAGCTTCCGAATATGCAATTTTTAGACAGTCCCGAATTTTCCATTCGATTCTAAGACCCAAACATCTACTTTTTGTTGGACGTCGAAACATCAAAGCATGCTATGTGCTTTTACAAAAGATATGCTATGTACTCTAGTCTATGACCGAAGATAACAGTCACGTGCTTGCACGAATGATTGAGCTGTTTTATTCTCTAGGAATTTGCAGTGTTTGGAGGCGGCTCTTTTCAGGGCCTTTATGAGGACAGTCCAGTTGTGGACATATGTCAAAATAATGTCACGATGGGCTTTCTATTGCTGTTAGCCTCTTTTGCCACTTGAAGTTAGAGCTGGGAGAAAAGGGGGAATTTTTCTTTTTTCCTATGTGCTAAGGAAAGTGTGTTTTTGAAAAGTTAGATGTTCTATCGATTTCGCATTTGGGATTCCACTAGAAAGGAAGCAGTTAAGTACTCAGGATATGTCTCGCTTTGAAAATGTTCTTTTTATTGACAGCCCCTATGCTGTATTAAGCCTTATACAGCTCACTGTGTTACGCCTTTTAAGATAATACAGTAAAAAACATCATTTATAAAGCTGATATTGTTTATTTATCTAAACAACTCTTTTGACGGTTTAGAAATCTACTTAAAATTTGTATTTTGCATGCACATTTTAATCTATTTTAATTGGATTTATCAGATTTTTAAGATAATTCACAACGATATTGTTATTGTTAGTTTATATTTAATTTAAAATTTTTTTATTGTTAATTTTTGAAATTAAAATTTTTAGTTAAAAAAACAACTTTTGAATTGGCATCAAATTTTGGATACGTATAGAAAGTATACAGTTTTAAACTTCTCAGCGCCTGCAAGGACTTCCTGAAACTTGAAAACAAGATGAGTGAAAAACAAAAACAAAAGTTAGACAACAATTATGAAAAATAAAAAGTTGTGAATTTGAAATTTTGGACACTATAATATTAATAAATAAACAAAATGCTGATACTCGTCCTAAATTAATGGTTACCGATATTCCTAAAATTTGTACTGATTTTAAGCGTATTAAAAATTATTTTGGCTTAACAAAATTCTTTGTCCGTAACCTATAAGTTGGCATTGCTTTGTTTGTATTACTAATTATAATTTATGTAATTAAAAGAACTTTTTTATTTCTTTCAAAAGGTTCAAACAAACGAATACACTTTTGTTAAAAATTAAGAATTTGGTGTTTCTGTACGTTTTGCCACCTTATGACGTTAAATGCTACTTCTTTAATTATTTTTTTTTTTCTGCTTGGATGAAGGGGGGTCTTTTTTCATTCTGGATTTAGAAAATATTTTCTTTTTGAAAGCGTTGGTGTAGAATGTTCTTTCTGGAATGAATTTTCCTTTTCCTTTTTGGACTTAAAATATTGTGAAATATGAGTCTGTTTTTGTTTTAAGTACTTCAATAAACAAATTTATGAAAACTCTTGGTGAAGGAAAACTGTGGCTCTGACAGAGAGTTATAATTTTTCTTGATATTTCCACTTTTTGCATTATTGTAATTCCATTTTTTTACTTATTTTTATTTCGTTTTTTGCCTTCTAAACATGCAAATGCTGCAGCATAATTTTTTTCTGACACGTTACGTACTCTCTCTCTGTATATATGTAATGATATTTTTAAATCAATTGATTAACTTAAATTCTAATAATATTGCTTAATAATGTGTTGGCGATCCTCTACCTAAATTGCATTCCTGTTCCTAAATTTTTCGAAATCCTTTCTTTAGTATAAAATATATTAACCTGTTGGCGCCCGCCAAATCGCCAAACTCATAAATCTGTCATATTACATAAGTCCTTAAGAACACTCCTGATGAGAAGATAGCGTCACCTCGTGATTTCAATTAATATCGCTGATTGGATGAGCCTCGTGACGCACACATATGTATAAATAGGCCTTCTGCTCAAGGTACAAAAAGAACGCTTGTGAGATGGATGCTAAAATAAACCTAGCACTTTATATTCCAAAATTTGTCTCATTCCTGTTGCCCCGGCTGCACAAAACAAATAATGTATGAGAAATTACATTTTATATATATACATACTATGTATAAAAGGAGGAACACACACATACATATCTATATCTATCTATCTATCTATCTATCTATATATATAATTATTATATATATATTATAACAATCTCTAACATTAACATACGTGCTATATATAGAGAGAGGAATGAATATATACATATATATTATAACAATCTCGTAGAGAATTAGAATGCATGCATTCGTTAAAGTTCTCATTTTTAGATTACATTTAAATAATTCAAAATGAGAAGAATATGTTTCATTACCTTATAACATTTCTTCTAATTCTCCTCGACCGATGGCGATGTTTGTTCGACCTGCTGGAATTCGTCCTTCTGGAGGGTTTCGTGTAAAGATAGGACTGGACTTTCGCTTCGGCAATTTCCCGAATAAGGGCTAAGTCATGGGTCTGCAAAGTTCCATCTGGTGGAAGCTCTACAACAGCTGTAAAAATTAATAAACTGATAGCATACATTCAATTGAAACTAAAAGAATTATGTTCTCAATAGGTATCTTAACTTGTTTGCTATTGTATTATGATGGTAAATCTAGGAATCTATTACAAAAATTAAAATTGATCTGTTTAAACTCAACACTTCAAATATAATAAGCTGTTTAATTTTATTTTTTCATATGCTTAATGCATATATATTCACCTATATACAAATATCATTTCGTCTTATAAGGTATTTTCTCCCTCCTTTCAGCAAACCTTCGGAGCATATTCGAGAGGTCGAGGTTCGAGTCCCGGCGAAGGCACTGCATGCACATTTTGCTTCCTATCAAAAAAAAAAAAAAAAAAAAAAAAAGGGAAAAGAATGTTTCTAGAATGACGCCCGAAATAGGTGGCGGATGATAATTCGTCTCTACCAGGATTTGGAGAGTGAACCCTCTAATCCTCAGTCGCCCTTAAAAGGGTTCCTCCCACCTTTAGACCTGACTTCGTCGTGCGCTCAAGCGCCTGTTTTAGAGAAATCAATGTTGGAGTCCCCGTGAGGGCATTACAAATTTTTCAAGTCTCTTGCTTCAAAATAACCTAATGACTCTACAGTCGCTCATCAGATATTTAAAAGTAGGAATACAATTTGAAAGTAACAGGACGTAAAGTTTTATAACTGGTTAGATTTTGTCTTATTTCTCGCGTATGATAAATTTCAGACAAAATTTCGTCATGAGAAAGTGAAGAAGTTACTCATGTTTATTAAGTATATACGGGATGTATTAAAGATATAATGTCACATGTTTGGGCTGAAATATATTTAAAACAACACTTACCTTGTAATACTTGAAATAAATTTTACAGACAGTTTGAAGTAATATTTAAGAGTCCAGAAATATATATTGGTGACTGAGGCAGAAGCAACTAAAAATTTTAGTAATACTTTTTGAAATTACTAATTTATTCTTTGCATGGTATATTTCTAGTGACATTATTTTAATACTTTATTATTATTTTTTATCATTTATTTATATTGACAGCAATCGTCTAGAACGCACATTGTCCATAAATCTAACAGCAATGAAATGTGGAACTTTGATAAACATTTCGAAATCTAATTTTGAGCATACTTACTTAATTCACATATTTATGTACCTCTCAAAATTGATTCTCAAAAATAATTCACTATGAATTTTCCTTAAATTTTAAAATTAAGAAATAACTTTAAATTTTTCTAAATAAATTTTTAATTTTTGTATGTACAATTATGTTTTCCTGATAAATGTTTATATTTTATAAAGTTCGTCAGAACACATTTTTTTAAATCATAAAATATAACAGCATTTATATGAGGCTATTAGTCCTATAAGCTGCCTCTCGGGAAAATAAATCAAAGGACTAATTAAAATATTTGATGAGAAAACGAATCAGTATCACTTTAAAAGTTTATCAGAAGTAGTTCTGGTTTTTAAAATTCATTACGATCAGGAACTCAGGTTGAGAAAAGATATTAAAAATATACACATGCAAGACTTTGCAATAAAATATTTGCTAGAGATTATTCGAATATTTAAATGCAAGACTTTTACTCTTTTCTCTGCTAATTTTCACGATATTGTGAGAAACATAAAAATGTACTTATATTGTACTTATATATATACAACTGAACTAGAATAATAAAGTTAATGCACCTCAAGTCATTGCGGTGAGGAGTATAACTTTTAATCAAAAGTGACAGTTAAACTGCTTCAATGCAAATTCATTGAAATCTAATCAATGACTAGTTTTGATTTACATAACAGTTTTAATCTCATTTTCAATTATAGATATGCCATTATTCTAAAAATTATATTAGAAACAGTTTGCATAAGTGTTAACGTAAACTCAAGAAGAAAAGAAATCACGAACGTTTAGCAAAATCTCAAAATCATTTTCTGAAAATTTATCCCGAAAAGCACTTTTTTAAAAAAACAACTCATTTCGAAATAACTACTACTTGAAAATCACCAGTTATTTATAATTTCAGCCTTTACTGTAATTTCTACTTTCAATTTCTTCTCCAGAATGCAAGTCAGTTAGATAGTATTTAAACTGATGTTTTAGGATTGTAAAACAGAGCGTGTTTCTATCGAACACTTTACGTTACTTAGTTCCACCAGTTCTGATAAGTTTGTAATTATTCGGCTTTGCGTCAGGGCTGCCGAATTGAGAATTATTACACCGGTTAAAATTTTGGGAGAGCTTTTATGGTTAAATTTTTAATTGTGTGATCTTTTGACTACTAGTCTATGCTTTAATTTGAATTGACCTTTATTTTAGTTATTTCTTCACAAGTGGCGTATGATGTTGTAAGAACAAGAAGTGAATTTCAGTTGAAAATTTGTTTTTAGATAAAAGGGTTACTTCAAGAATTCTCACAAAGTACTTCATAAATAAAACATTTGCATAAAAGGGTTACTTCAAAACCCCAAAAATTGGTAGTTAGTTTCAGACACAAAGATAGTTCTCTACGTGTCTGTTACGGTTTGAATTAGTTTATGCTCTCAAAGCAAGCAAACTCTACAGCTCCACATAGTGAATGAAAACCATACGTATTATGATATAAGATTTTTAAAAATACTTTTTGGAATAAAAATCTATAGTCATCTGAATGGTAAGTCAGAATATTTTATTCATATAATATTATTTTCGGACCTCATAAAGATTATTTCCTTTAATGTCATAGCATCATAAATATTACGCCATGCAAATCACTTTAACTATTTTACAACATCAAAAACGCAATATCGCTCAATATGATGCGAACAATCAAGTAGCAAATATACCAATTCAGTATATTAATTAACAAAAACAAAATGTTTAAATTTAAAAGGACTAGTAGTAAAATTGTTCTGCTAGTACACAAATACAATTAACTAATATAATTTAAATATTTTGTATGGATTGAGGTATTATAAGGTGTTTTCTCTCTCCTTTCCGCATGCCTTCGTGGTGTAATTACAAGCATACTCGACGCGTAGTCCAGCGTTCAAGTATCGACGACGGCACTGCATATTTTTCACGTCCCCTACTTGAAAATAAGTAAATGACTCTCCAGTACAATAAAAAAATTAGTTTTATTGAAATATGGCAAAGGTATCTAAGGGCAGGAAATTCTCTCGTATACACGTTACACATGATGAAAATCACGAAAGTTCCCATACAGCTAGCCTGCTGGCATAGAATAGAGCCTAGATTGAACTACCAATGTTCAGCGACTTTACCGCTTGGCTACTGGTGGACCTTGTATACTAGAAGTCAAGATTATTCGCATTATACAAGAAAAGACTTAATTTTAACTCAAACTATAACTTTCAATAAACACTAAAAGAAGATTATTGTATTACATCCTCCATAGAAACTGCAACCGGAATGTAAGAACTAACTACCTTCTCAAACTAGGCATCAGATTGCAGAAGGAAGTATTTATTTCGACTATATAAATATTCTGTGCTTGTGCTTTACTTTAACGTAACGACATATTATATGGTTTGGAACCATCTCGATTCTTTGACAGGTAAAGGTTTCTACATGGCTTCTCCACTGATGGTTATTGTCGGCAAAACTCGAAAGGTATTGTTTCGGAAGTTTATGGACCATGCAACAGCAGCAATATTTCTATCCAGTTCAAAAGTATTTATGGCGTTCATAAAAGAGTACTTTGTGAGTATATTTCAGATAAAGTTTCTTTCTCGTAATGTATGACATTTTATATTTTTACTTTCCAAGCACAAGAAAATATTATTAAAAGCATAGTTTTTAAATAAATAAAGGAATTGATTTTTGTTGCTTGTGTTTTCTATGCTTAGTACTGTAGAACGTACTGAAGTTCCATAATTATATATTCTAACACTTCTTATGTTGGTTTTCGTGGCATTCTTTTAATAAATTATTGCGTTTAGGTAACATATTTTTCTTTTGTAATTCTACATCGCTATTTTTAATTAAGAAGAATTACTACGTATGAGTTGTCATACACAGTTTTGGGACAGAAAGGATATATAATAATCATAATGGATAATGAAAATTGTGTGCAAAATGGATTTTGAAATTTATTTGCATAGTTAGAATTATAAAAGCTCAGCTTGAAATTTATGCCTATTATTAAGTGAATCGAGAATTGCAACATTTGTCGCCATTTGTAGCTATACCGAAAAATGCATTTAACGTGCAGCCCAGAAGGGAAAATAGATAGCAACTCTGACTGTCGTATAGAATGGCCCAGGTTCGAATCTCGGAGAAAACAAGGATGTTTGCAAATGTATATATTATACAAAGAAGCTCTATAAGTTAGGGAAAGCGGGGCGGGAGACCCTCACATCAGCTCACCGAGATGCGCTGTCCCAAACATGGGGGGGGGGGGGGTGGGGGACTGAGAATAATGTCGAACTGTCACCTGTATGGTTCTCAAGACTCTGGTCAATGACAGACGCATTCTTGTAGACCTTGATAAGTCATGTTCTAATTACATCAGACAAGTGGTAGCAACAGCAACAGAAAACATGGCATGTTTACGTGCCTCTTCTTCATTGTTCACAGCTTTTAAAGGTATAGTTCATATTGAGAGCTTAAATCAATTCAGCGTCGTTCACATTGAGAAACACCATATTTTATATACACTACACTACGTCAAAAAACATTATACTTATGTGCCCTAGATTTATCGCCATTTAAGCTTCAATTTAAAATTTTCAGACCTTACATCAGGCAAAAACCCCTTCACATCGAAGTGCAAACAATCACTTTGTCCTTAATTTGCAACATAACCATCGCAGATCCCCAATTGGATTCAGCAAAAATCCTTCTTCACAAAGAGACTCACTGAACATAACGTTACGTCAACCATATTCTTAAAAGTGTTGTCCGCGTTCGCATATTTGGGACAACAAAATCGCAGAGTTTATTAGTTTCTTCTTTTGTTCCGGAGAGAGAATTGCGAAGAGAACAGTTTAGAGTCGACTCGGAACGCGGATCATCCAATGCTTGATGTGTTGCCAGTCAATCAGGAGCAT